CAAAGACTTACTGGTTTAAGATTTCCAGACATCTGATTCTTGGTTGGTAAAATGAACGTGGACCCAAGTAAACAATGGCAAAGGAGATCATTTTATCTGTCAATACTGATTTCTTGGCATGACTGCTATTGGTATTAAGAATAATGTGGAGGAAAAGGAGCTATGATCGATTAGTAATGTCTGCCCTGGGTGCTGAAATGGGAAGCAGTAGTATGCATATTGTGACATTTTGTTTTCATCATCCTAGTAGAGGCATCACATGCTCAGACACAGAGGTCAGGCAGTTGATATGAATGTACAAAGTAGGGCAGGTTGTAAGCTCAAATCCCCACTGGTTTATCTCTCCTTTTGTCTCTAGTGTCTCTACAGAGGTATTTTGACACTAAAATAAAAATAGGAAATTATGATTTTAAAGATAAGCCTGCAAAGGCTGATTGATGGTGAAACAGTAGGGGATAATGTTGGATATGGCAAATCTCATATTACATTATCCATCCTGAGAGCTATGCAGCCACTCAGCTCTAGCCAAGGTGGGCCCAACAATGGCCAATCTTCAAGTTGATCAAAGAATAGCTAGAAACGTGAGTTCAAATGTCCCATCTCAATTTTTCAATCCTGACTCAAATGTTCTTAAACATTGTGAAAGCCATCATTTTGCTCGTGATGCTACTGGTTTGAAACATCTACTTTGGGCATTCCCTGGAGTCCCTTCTCTGTTCTAAGAGCCTTGGAGTGCATAATGATAAAAAGAAAGTAGCCCAAGAAAGCAGAAAGCTGGAAGATTTCTTGAGTGGGTAGGAAATAAGGAAAATACACTTAGCCTGGCTATTTCTTCTTTGTCCCGAAAAGTGAAGGAAAAGAAAGCATTAAGGGTTCACCATTGTGGCTGCCCATCTTTATTAGAGCTCCCTGGAAATTTCTATAAGCACATATGGCTGATTCAATTTAGGTTAAATCTAAGATCCAGTTCTACTGGGCCACTGGGCATATTTCAGTTGCTCCAGGTGCGCAGTGACTACTACAGTAGTCCCTCTTCATTTGTGGTTTTTCTTCCCATGGTTCCCATTACCCATGATCAACTGCACCTGAAAACATAGTACAATAAAATACAGAGAAAGAGGAGAAGAGAGAGAATGAGAGAGAACATCCAGCTTTTATTTCACAGTATTGTAACACCTGATCTATTTTATTAACAGTTGTTGTTGTTAGTCTCCTACTGTACCTAGTTTATAACTTGGTCTTCATCATAAGTGTGTCTTCATAGGCAGGCTCATCATATATATTATATCAGGGTCAGTACCACCTATAGCTTCAGGCATGTCTGCTGGAGGACCTCCTGTAGACAAAGGGTGGTGACTTTGTATAAGAGTACAGGCACAGGACAATCCCACGAGTACATGGATGAGTTCTGTTAAAAGCCAGGCACTTGCAAGTCAGAATTGTTGGCCACAGACTCAGCCTCAGATACTTTAGGCTTTGCTCATCCTATGTTTTAAAAATCGTCCAAAGTTTCACAGAATCTACTTTCTCTAAAAAGCAATGGAAAGTATAATTCGAGGTTCATATTCTATTGTGACAGCAGTCAAGCGAAATTGATGTCCATACTCTCATTTAAAAGTGGGATTTATTCTTATTAATTTACTGTAGTTCTCACCAATAGAAGCACAGTGGCAACTCCTATGCTTACCCTCAGATTCCAGTCTCCTGCCTAGGGCAAAGAGAGTAGGAAAAGCCTGGTCTGATGAATCCTTGAGTTGAGGAGGCAGGGTGGAGACTCCAAGAGATTAGAGTTCATTATCTGTGTGCCTAAGAGCAGAGCGCTGGAGAGAAAATGTCCTGGAAAACTTTCCAGGTCCCTAGTCCTCTAGTAGGGTCTTGGTTAGCCTATGCACGGGAGAAAGCCTGTGTCGGACCAAAGACCTTTCCAATCAGAGCAGTAACAGAAACCTGAGGGTCCCAGATTCAGTCACCATGGAGAGTGCACAGGAAGACCTTGCCTCTGAAATGAAGAATGATCAGTCCTGGTGAATCAGTCTTACAAACAAGTCAGAGACAATGCAGACTGTTTTCCAAGCAACCTTACTACATTCTCAAATAAAACTTGAATATGCAAAAGCATCCATGATCAAACAAAAGCACAGTAGGAAGTACCTAATCAGTAACAGGTAAGGAAATAAACAAGAAAACATGACCTACAGTGGAAAAACATATTAAAACTGCTGCTCCAGATAGTGGGATCTATCAAAAAGGAGCACTGTAGCTGGGTTCCGTGTGTTCAAAGTCAGCTAAGGCACAGGAAACACAAACCAATCTGCACAGAACTTCTAGAGATGAAAGTGTCAGGATGAGGGGTAGACTGCTGTAGTTTCACCAGAAACTAGGTTTTGCAGAATCACATGTCAGTGTCCTAGTTACTTCATTGCTGTCAGTGACATTATAACCAACAGCATTGTTGGGGGCAAAGGGTTTATTTGACTGGCAGGTCACAGTCCATTATCCAGGGAAGTCAAAGGAGCTCAAAGCAGGAACATGGAGGCAGGAACTGAAACAGAGACCTTTTAGAAACAAAAAATTGCTTACTGGCTTGCTCTCAGGCTCACATTCAGCTACCTTTTTATTCTTCCCAGATTCATCTTCCCAGGGGTACCACTGTCTACAGTGTGCTGGACCCTTCTCCACCAATTGGCAATAAAGAAAATGCTCCACATTCCTGCCTACAAGGCAATTTACTGAGATGGTTCCCTCTTTTCTGGTATCTCTAGTTTGTGTCAAGTTGACAACTAACCAACTGAGTCACTGAACATGAACACAGAACAAAAGAGACTACCCAAAGTCAAATGGAGGAAAAAGTACCACAACGCAGATCATCAGGGAGCTAGGCTATGGCTCAGGGGTAGAGTGCTTGCCTAGCATTCATGAGGCTCTGGGTTTGCTCTCCAGTGCTGGAAGTGGGCAGAGCACCCAGGAACTGCAGAGCCACTTCAACTAGCTGAACACGCAGAATTACAGTTCTCAAAAGATGTGCCTGTCTGAGAGGAGGAGATATAGAAATAAACGACACAAGGAAATAGCAGCTGAGAACTTCCCAAGTAGGATAAAAATTGTTAAGTTCACAGATTTGAGAGGCATCACAAACCCTAAGCCCAGAGACAGACTGATTGCTGCTCTGTGATACATCATCACCAAGTTTCCCAAAAGCAACTGACTAGAGATAAACAGTGAAGAGAAAAATCACCCACATAGTCAAAGAAGAGAAAGAGCATGGAACCCTAAGGAATGACTATGAAGATGTGCATGTGGGGGGGGATTCTGTCAGAAACAATGTCACAGAGAAGACATCTTAAGCCCCCCAAAACAGAAACAGTTTCTAGACCAGACCCCAGCTGTGCCTTATTTCAGAAATGAAGGAAAAGAATCTTAACCAGATTGCTATGATTTAGTCTTCATGATACTTACTGCTACTGCACAAATAATCAAAATAATATATCTTAATAATTAATTGTGAGATTCCTGGGGAAGTTAGAGGCCTCAAAACATGTTTGTGTCTTTGGTCAAAAGGTAAGCATGCTAGGAGGGTGTGGGAGTGGGCCATGCGAGCTGAGCCCGCTGTTATATTGTGCTCCGATGTGGTGTTTGCTACAGCTTCTTCTCATCTAGAACTGTGCCTGGCACACAGTAGGTACTCAATAATGTGTATTGTTCAATAGCTGACAAGTGCAGGTAAAACAGGACTTTTCCAGACATATAAAGTCTGAAAGAACTCATCACAAATGCAGAGCCACACAACAACTGTTAGAGAAAGTCTCCCAGGGGGAAGGAAATGCACCTGCTGCTAATGCGAATCTTCATAGGAGAATACAAAGTATTGGAAATGGTGGCCACGTGCTTATAACTATATATTTAATCTTCAAGGACTTCTGAGTTCCATCTCTCAGTTCCTATACTAATTACTACTGTGTGAATACTTCGTTCTTTTGGTGAAATGCTGTTAGGTGCCTACAATTTCTCAAGTCTTGTCAGTGTGGGACTACAAATGTAAAGGACAGATCCTTCACACACAGTATGCTTACATTCTAACTGGAAGAGCAGGTAACAACCCATTCACAGTCAGACATAGTGCTGCATGCCTGTAATCCCAGCACTTGGGAGGAGGCAGAAGCAGAAGGATTAGGATTTCAAGGCCTGCCTCAGCAACACAAAATGAATTAGATGTTAGCCTGGGCTATGTATGTGAAACCAACCCTGTTGCCAAAAAAGAAAAAAAAAATGAAGGAGGGGGAGGAAGGTCAGGAGAAGTAAGGGAAAGGGGAAGAACTGTGAAGCATTCTAGAAGAAAGCATATTGTAAAAGCTCAGGGGGTAGGACTTCTGTTGGCACTGCTACTGTGTCAGAGAGTCTGCGGCATATGCATCAGGGCAGAGGAAATCAAAGAGGCTAACAAGGCTCG